TCATTAATTGACTGCTTTTTCACAGGTGAGGATTTGGTCTCTGCATTTATCATGCAGGCAAAAAAACAACGATCTCTAAAAATTTAACGCCTGCATCATTCATCTACTGTATTTTTCTGTTTCTTTTTTTTAGTTCTTTTTGTTGTTCACTTATTTGAATGGCTAGCAACCGTGTTAGAGTATTGGTGCACTTTGGTGGTTCGTTTTGCGAGGGTTCATATCTTGGTGGAGTGGCAGAGCTGATGAGAATAAATTACGGCCGACAAATATATTCTGAAGTAGTTTCTCGTGCTCAAGCATTATTGAAGGCTGATCCTTGTAATTTTGAGTACATATTGTGGGCAGTATTTGATGGAAGGGAACGAGTTGTGAAGATGAAAATCGAATCCAATGAGGATATCTTAGAGCTGATTGAAGAACAAAAAAATCCCAACATTTACGTGGAGTTGGAGAAGCGAGTAAATGTAGGGATTACGGGGACGGCGCAACAAAGCTTCACGCAAATGATGGCGTCTCAAAGTGATTTCTGAGTTCTTTTGGTATTGGTAGTTCTGCATTTTCCCACGAGGCCCCATATTCACATCAAGCAGGCCCTGGTTCATTTACACATATTGAATATCCTCGGGGCGCTGATGATCAAACCTCGGGTTGTTCAAACCAACCAGGTCATTCTCGTGACGATGACAATAATGATGACCAAACCAACACGCACAATGGTGACACAGGCGACGAAGACAAAGAGGTCAATGAGAAGCAAATGTTCGTAATCCAGGTACAATTGTTGAAATCAGAATTGGTTGACCTGCACACCTCACATATGTCCCTTAATAATCACACAATTGAGTTGATTGTGCGCTTCGCATAACATGTCGCATAATAATCGCACAATTAGGTTGATTGTGCGATTCGCATAACATGTAACATAATAATCGCACAATTAGGTTCATTGTGCGATTCGCATAACATGTTCCATAATAATCGCACAATTGGGTGATTTTGCGATTCCCATATCATATCCCATAATAATCGCACAACTGGGATGATTCGCCTAGTCTTCAACCGCATAATTAACGAATCGTATATCCAAATTGAAAGCCGCATAATTTACGACTGTCCGCCATTTTTTTGCATATCCATATGGACCGCATTGATTGATTGTCTGCACCGCATATCAAAATCGAAAGTGCTTCGCATATTATCCGCATACGTTACGCACCGCATTGATTGATTGTCTGCACTGCATATCCAAATCGAAAATGCTTCGCATATTGTTCGCATAAGTTACGCACCGCGTTGATTGATTGTCTGCTTTTACACCTAAAAAACAATGACGATTTGCATGCTTCCTCATTTAGTTGTTGAGTTGATGTATATCTACCTAGCCTTAAATGCTAAATGTATTCATTAACCTTTCATTCTCTTTGTTGAAGAGGCGACCTTTCACTTCTCAAAACCCTATCTTTCCATCGCTGCCAAAAAAAAAAAAACCAAGGAGGCGCACGTTTGCGAAAAAAATGGAAAGAATTTCACCCTATGAAAAGATCGCAATCCGCTAGAGGAGGAGGAACGTATTTGCTACCAAGTGTTTTTCAAATGGTGTCGTCAGATGGCAGACATACACAAAGGCCATGTGTTCAATTCCTTGTGGACAGAAATTTCAATAGTCCTGAACCAATGCTTGAGTTATGCATTTAAGAGGGAGTTTACTATTTCTCAAGTCCGGCGAAAGATTCAGCGACTCAGAAATTATTTCGATGAATTTACTGCTCTCTTGATGATTCCAGGCGTCCTCTTGTGTCGTGATACAGACTTTGCTAGGGTTAACCACATGTACTTGGCGTATGTGGGGGAGGAGGTAAATTGCATTTGATTTTTTATTTTAGTTTGTTCAAGCATGCATTTTTGTGACGCGGCCATAATAACCTAAATTGATTTAAATTTATTACACAGGAGACCGACACTCAGGCATTTTTCCGTTCGGAAGGATTCCCTTGGTATGGTGAGTGTTACGAGGTTTTTACCGAGCGCAACGCAGCGGCGATAGACTTGGAAGTCATCGATCTCGACCCTTAGAATCCACTGGACATGTATTCAAAAGTTGTTTGGCTTATTTTGTTGGACTGACTGCAGTAATAATAAATATTTTTTCTTCTGTCATTACGTGTTTGTTTAATCATGATTCATATGTCAAAACAAAATAATATGTTGCATGGACAATTAAACTATTAATGTCCGTGAACAGAGTTTTCCCAGCAAAATCAGCGACAATATTCGAAGGGATAATATTATTGAAAGGAAATTCGCAGAACTGTGAACAAAGTGCGATGATCGCATTGTTCTCGCATAACGTAATGAAAAAAAAGTAATTTATATTTTTTAATCGTATATCCAGGCCAGATCAACCGCATCATCATTTAGGATATGTGGAAAACTGTCGCGTAATTAGATTATCGCATATCCAAACTGCATCATTTATGAGTATGCGACTATGCGGCATATGTTCGCATATCAAAATCTATAAAGCTTAGATAACTATCGCTTATGCGTTATGTTTTCGCATAGTTACAAATCGCATATCTATATAACACTAGCATAAATGTATCAATATGCGAACACATTTCGAATAGTGTTACGCACCGCTTTTTTTTCACCTAATAGTTTTTTATTTAATTTATTAATATAGTCAAAGAACAAGAATTTTCCAAAAATTATTATTTACCAACTCTAAAAAAATATACGACGTTTGTATGTCACAATTTTGTACGTCGCAGAATAAAAAATTTACAAAAACCAACATAAAAAAATATATGTTAGTCGTTATTGTAATAGTGTTATGCGATTTTTATGCGAAATTATTTCGAGTAATAATCGCAGGTTCATTGACATAATAGTAGTAGTCTTCAATTTATTAGTAATTTAATTACAGACCAAAAACTTTTCAAAAATTAATTTTATAAAATTAATTATTTACCAACTCGGGGACTAATATGCGACGTTCGTATGTCACAATTTCGTATGTCGCCGAATAGAAAATTTACAAAAACATAAAAAATTAAATTTTATTCGTTATAGTACGAGTGTTATGAGGTTTTTATGCAGAATTGTTTCAAAGTAATAATCGCAGGTTCATTCATCTAATAGTATTCTTCAAGTTATATTTAATTCACAGACAAAGAAATTTTCAAAAAATAAATATTATAATTAATTATGCACTAATTCTGCGAATGATATGCGACGTAGTCTTAAATTTATATTTAATTCACAGACAAAGAAATTTCCAAAAAATAAATATTATAATTAATTATGCAACAATTCTGTGAATGATATGCGACGCAGTCTTAAATTTATACTTAATTCATAGACAAAGAACTTTCGAAAAAATAAATATTATAAATAATTATGCACCAATTCTGCGAATAATATGCGACGTATGTATGTCTCAATTTTACATCGACTCAACTACTTTACATCAAATAATTTTTTATAATATAAATTACGCACCACTTAAGCGACTGCTATGCGACGTATGCATGTCGCAACTTTACATCGACTCAACTACTTTACATCGACTCAACTACTACTTTACCCCGTGCTACGTTCACCGTTTCCTCATACCGCAATCTGACTCTCGTAAGTGGCCGGCTGAGGATGAGCGGCGGAATTGGGCTGAGGAGTCTAGGGGTCTTTGCAGAGGAGGTAAGTTCTGGATTGTCCCGTTTGCTTTGAACCTTTAAGCCCTCCAGTATATGAGTTACTACTTAAACCCCAGTACTACGTTCACTGTTTCTTCATAAAGATATCTGACTCTCGTCAGTGGCCGGCTGAGGATGAGCGGCGGAACTGGGCTGAGGAGTCCGGGGGTCTTTGCAGAGGAGGTACGGGATCTTTTCGCCATTGTTTGTTAGAAGGGATAGGTCTGTGAGTCGAACAAAATTAATCGTCATCCCTTGTTTGACTTTCAATCTTCGTTTTCACATCTGTCTTTGCCAGTGAATTTTGTACACCTGTTGAAGAAAATGGAAAACAGGATTTATATCAATGGTCTGACTTCCGATAAAAAAAAGTAGTATACCCCGAAGAACAATCACCTTTGTCTTTGAATGCGTGCTCCCTCTCGAAGAACAATCACCATTAGTATACCCCGAAGAACAATCACCTTTATATAGATAAATAAGGTTTAATGTGAAATTGACAATAGAAGAAAGTCACTTATTAAAAAATATAATAATGCTCAAGCTCAATGTTAGATAAAATGTTTTTTAGGAGTTAAGGTATATAGATAAATATGGTTTAATGTGAAATTGACAATAGAAGAAAGCCACTTATTAAAAAATATAATAATGCTCAATCTCAATCTTAGATAAAATGTTGATTAGGAGTTAAGGTATATAGATAAATATGGTTTAATGTGAAATTGACAATAGAAAAAAGCCACTTATTAAAAAATATAACAATGTTCAAACTCAATCTTAGATAAAATGTGGATTATGAGTTAAAGTATGTAGATAAATATTGTTTAATGTCATTATGTTTGAAAGTGGAAATAGAAGAAAGTCACTTATTAAAAAATATAATAATGTTCAATCTCAATCTTAGATAAAATGATTAGTGAAAAATAACTCTCGTCTTCTCTTCTACAGTAAACCCTTGCGGACGCCGATTTGTCTTCTGTGGATCTCTTCCGGTGGTGGGTGGTCGGATTAGCGGCCGTCTTTGGCCGCCCGCCCATCCCTGTCGACGATTTCCTCCGGTCTCCCCTGTTGCGGCTCAATTCCGGGTTTCCCCCTTTTCGGTGGCGTCTGAGGGGCATATGCTTCGCGTTTTCGCTTCCTCCCTCGGCCGTCGGGTTTGGGTTGTTTTGGTCGATGGAGGTTCCGGTTGGGGCTTGTGGTTTGGTTTGGGTTTGTTGGAGTTGGGTTGCTTGGTATGATTCGGGGGAAGGTGGTTGGCTGAGGTTGGTGGTTGTGGTCTGTGGGTTGGGGTTCCGACGAGGGGAGCAGGTTGGGTTGTTTCGGGGTAGTCGGGGGATTTCGCTGGGCGGCAATTGGGTTGGGGCCCCGGTGGCTACTGTGTGTTGTGTGTGGCTGCTGCCGGGGCTGGGGTTCGAGCATGGGGTGACTATCTTGTCTTTCTCTGCTGTTGGGGAGGTTTGGGATCCGGCACATCCAAGTTTGGCTAGTGGTGTTAGCCGGATTTCGGTTGTTCTGGTCGGGGTTTCCGTGCTGGTTCTCCCTGCCTTTTGTATAGGCCTCGTGCAGTTTCGGGGGAGGGTCTTGGCTAGGGGCCTGGTCGAGAGTTAGATGTAGATGTTGGATCGGTTCATCGGATTTCCGGGGGAGGGAACTGTTGTTTTATTTAGATTTTGGGTTTTAGTTTTGCTATCTGGTTTGTTTTGTAGGTTGTCTTTTATTTTGCTCAGTGTGTCTGTTTATTTTTGTTTCGGAGATGAATACAGGCTAGGCATTGTGCAGTGGCTCTGTTTTTCATTTTCCTTTATTTTCGTTTGTGGAGTTCTCTAGGCCGCCATGTGCGTGTCCTCTCAGTCTTTTATTCATGTTTGTTTTTAGGAGTGTTTTTAGTTTGGGTCGTTGGCCCCTGTCTCATTACCCTGTTGGGGCCTTAGATTACCCTGTTAGGGCCTTGTAATTTGTTCCTTTGCACTTTTGTGCTCTTCTATATTACCTCTATCGTTTCGGAAATAAAAATTCTTAGATAAAATGTTGATTAGGAGTTAAGGTATATTGATATATATGGTTTAATGTTAAATTGACAATAGAAGAAAGCCACTTATTAAAAAACATAATAATGTTCAAGCTCAATCTTAGATAAAATGTTTTTTAGGAGTTAAGGTATATAGATAAATATGGTTTAATTTGAAATTGACAATAGAAGAAAGTCACTTATTAAAAAAATATAATAATGTTCAATCTCAATCTTAGATAAAATATTGATTAAGAGTTAAGGTATATAGATAAAATTGACAGAGGCTTCTGTTCTTTTTATTGGGCCCTCCAATTCCCTAATGCCTCAGTTACCAATGTTGTGAGGAGTGCTTCGGATCATTCAGCCCTATTACTTAACTTGGGGCTGCCCAGAGAAGGAAAGAAAGGCATTTTCCACTTTGATAAGAGATGGATCAATCAAGAGGGGTGCAAAGAGGTTGTTCAACAGGCTTGGAATTCTGAAGTACAAGGCACTCCCTTTTTCCAGCTTAAGGAAAAGGTGAAGCTCACCAGAATAGCTCTTCTTAAGTGGAGTTCCTCATTCCAAACTCACAGACAGAAAGAGATTGCTCTGTTAACTCAGAAGATGGAGTCCCTCAATGCTGATAAGGCTAATATCAATTGGGCTGAATGGGAGACTATCAAGAGAAGTCTGAATCTTGCCCACAAGCAAGAAGAATTGTTCTGGCAGCAAAAGGCCAAGTCTAGATGGCTTAAAGATGGAGATACCAACACAAGGTTTTTTCATGCTCTCACCCTTCAAAGGAGGAAGACTAATGTTATAACCAGGTTGATAACCCCTCAAGGCTCATTTCTCACCTCCAAAGCTGATATTGAAAGACACATCTCAGATTTCTACTCCACCCTTTTCTCCTCAGAGGGTTGCTGGGGGGGTGATGCAATTCTTCCTCTGATCCCAACTTCTATCACAGAGGACATGAACAAGGACCTGCTTACACCTGTGGACAGTGAAGAAATCAAATCCACTCTTTTTTCTCTGCATCCAGATAAGTCCCCGAGGGAGGATGGCATGACCGCTTTCTTCTATCAGCATTTCTGGAGTACTATCAGCACTGATCTCATAGCTGCTATCTCAAGCTTCTTCCAGTCAGGTATGATTCTTAAATACTGGAACCATACTATCATATCTTTAATTCCCAAGTGCTCAAACCCTGAAAATTTGGGGGAATTCAGACCTATAAGCCTCTGCAGCGTGGTCTATAAGCTCATTTCCAAAATTTTAGCCCAGAGGCTCAAGCTGTGCCTAAAAAATTGCATTAGTGACTCTCAAGCTGCCTTTGTGGAAGGTAGACAGCTTATGGATAATATAATCATTGCGCAAGAAGCTTTTCATTTTCTTAACAGGCATTCTTCTGGGAAAAACTTTTTTATGGCTCTAAAGTTGGATTTAATTAAGGCATTTGATAGAGTAGAATGGGTTTGCTTAAAGAAAATAATGATTCAGATGGGCTTCAGTTTGGATTTTGTCAAGCAGATTATGATCTGTGTTTCCTCTGCCACTTTCTCTTTCAAAATTAATGGAGCTCTCAGTGGTTATATCTCTCCCTCAAGAGGAATTAGGCAAGGGGATCCTCTATCCCCTTACCTATTTATTATAGTTGCAGAACTACTCTCAGCTCTTATTCAGAATTCTATTAACATGGGACTGTTTAAAGGGATGAAGATTTCCAGGAATGGGCCTTTATTGTCTCACCTGCTCTTTGTTGATGACTCATTGTTCTTTTGTAAGGCTGGAACCGAGCAGGCAGGTACTCTCATGCATATCCTTGAGCAATATAGGTTGTTCTCTGGTCAAGCTGTGAACTTACAGTAATCTGCTATTTTTTTTAGCAAGAATACTCTCCTGCCTATTCAGACTGCTATCTGTGCTTCCCTTAATGGTATTGCCTCTCACAGATCCACTAGATACCTAGGTCTTCCCATAGGTATTGGAAGAGCCAAAAAGGAGGTTTTTGATTATTTGTTATCCTCTGTCAAACAAAAGCTGATGAACTGGAAATCCAAATTCCTTAGTCCTGCTGGCAAAGAGGTGTTATTGAAAGCTGTAATCCAATCATTGTCTATATTCTCAATGTCATGCTTTAAACTTCCTCTCACCTTATGCTCTGAAATTTCTAAGCTCTGTGCCCAGTTTTGGTGGCAATCAGGTGGACAGAATCCACATGGCATTCACTGGAAGAAGTGGAGTATCTTGACTGCTCCTAAGCAGAAGGGGGGCATTGGCTTTCTTGACTTGAAACTTTTCAACAAAGCTCTCCTTTGTAAACAATTGTGGAGGATGGCCACAAACCTTGACCTCCTGGTAAGCAGACTACTGAAAGACAGGTATTACCCAAATTCTTCCATTATTCATGCCTGTAAATCTCAAGGAGGTTCTTAGATGTGGAATTCATGGATGGAAGTGCTGCCCTTGTTTTCCAAATGGTTGAGGATTGAGGTTAGGAATGGGGAAAGCACTAAAATTTCAGATTTTAATTGGGTTCCTTCTCTCAAGAAGGCCTCCCCTGATCTTATTCCTATTGCTAGAGATCACTTAATTTGGGTGAAAGATCTGATCTTGGAGGATGGCCTGCACTGGAATGAATGGTTGGTTGCTCATGTTTTTGACCCGGTTGATTGCAATGCTATTCTGAGGATTAAGTCCTTGCACCCTGACATAAATGATAGGTTCTGTTGGGGTTTGGATAGTAAAGGCTCTTTTTCAGTCTCTTGCACATATGCTCATCTCTCCTCTCTGAAGATGCTTCAGTCTGACATCCCAGAAACTAGCAACAACTCCAATCTAAACTTATCCATCAAATGTAGATTCTGGAAACTGAAGATTGCTGGTAAAATCAAGCACTTTTTGTGGAAATGTCTGTCAAAATGTCTCCCAGTTGCTGCTCTTCTTTATAAGAGGAAACTTGTACCAGACTTCCTCTGTCCTATTTGTGGTGAAGCTCCAGAGACTTTAGAACATATCTTTTTTGAATGTGATAGAGCTGTCAGAGTTTGGAAGCTCAGTCCGATTAATTGGGATGGTCTCTCTCACTGTTCTTCCTCATTTAGAAGCTGGTGGCTCAATGTCTGCTCCCTGGATCAATCCGAGGTTGCCGAAGCAAGGATTCAACTTTCGACATATATTCTTTGGTGGCTCTGGAAATCTAGGAACCTCTGGATCTTTCAGAAGTCATTAATCCCGGAGTCTGCTTTGTCTCTTTTGGCCCATGCAGATTGGTTGTCTTTTATTTCAGCATCTTTTAGTTAGTTGGTCTTCTTTTCCTCTTCTTTGTTGCTGGTTGGAGTCTTTCTGGATTGTGTTTGGTTTGTAACTCAGTCTAGGCTTTGAGGCAGTGGTCTTGAATTGCTTTCCGTAGTTGGTTGCTTTTGTTATCTTTGTTGAGTTTCTAGTCCACCTTTGGTGGTTCTCCCATGTTTGCTTTTTGAGTGTGGTTGATCCAGTTGTACTCAAACATTGTATATTTCGGTTTTATTAATAGTTATCTCTATCGTTTCGGGAAAAAAAAAGTGAAATTGACAATAGAAGAAAGTCACTTATTAAAAAATATAACAGTGTTCAAACTCAATCTTAGATAAAATGTGGACTATGAGTTAAGGTATATAGATAAATATTGTTTAATGTCATTATGTTTGAAATTGGAAATAGAAGAAAGCCACTTGTTAAAAAATATAATAATGTTCAATCTCAATCTTATATAAAATATTGATTAGGAGTTAAGGTATATAGATAAATATGGTTTAATGTGAAATTGACAATAGAAGAAAGCCACTTATTAAAAAATATAATAATGTTCAAGCTCAATCTTAGATAAAATATTTTTTAGGAGTTAATGTATATAGATAAATATGGTTTAATGTGAAATTGACAATAGAAAAAAGCCACTTATTAAAAAATATAATAATGTTCAATCTCATTCTTAGATAAAATGTTAATTAGGAGTTAAGGTATATAGATAAATATTATTTAATGTGAAATTGACAATAGAAGAAAGCTACTTATTAAAAAATATAATAATGTTCAATCTCAATCATAGATAAAATGTTGATTAAGAGTAAAGGTATATAGATAAATATGGTTTAATGTGAAATTGACAATAGAAGAAAGTCACTTATAAAAAAATATAACAATGTTCAAACTCAATCTTAGATAAAATGTGGATTATGAGTTAAGGTATATAGATAAGTATTGTTTAATGTCATTATGTTTGAAAGTGGAAATAGAAGAAAGCCACTTATTAAAAAATATAATAATGTTCAATCTCAATCTTATATAAAATGTTGATTAGGGAGTTAAGGTATATAGATAAATATGGTCTAATGTGAAATTGACAATAGAAGAAAGCCACTTATTAAAAAATATAATAATGTTCAAGCTCAATCTTAGATAAAATGATTTTTTAGGAGTTAATGTATATAGATAAATATGGTTTAATGTGAAATTGAAAATAGAAGAAAGTCACTTACTAAAAAATATAATAATGTTCAATCTCAATATTAGATAAAATGTTGATTAGGAGTTAAGATTTATAGATAAATATGGTTTA